ACAGCTACTGTGTGGAGCTTGGTCCCTTGTACAAAACCACTCGAGACATCAATGATTAAAAGTGTGAGGGAAAATATTGAATCAGGCAAATCACTTCAATGCTTACCCCCAATATAGCGGAGTGTCACGGACTTGATATTTAGGATCAATTCCGTGCGGCCCTAGCCTCTCTTTGTCCCAGCAAATAGACTAGGCAGCCTGACTCACAAGAAAACCCAACCTTTTTTAGACTGAACTTGAAAGAAAGAAGGGAAAATGTTTGAATAGTTCTCTTATTTAAGAAATGAGTGAGTGATTACAAATGAGGGATCCCACCCCTATTTATACAAAAACACCTCCAAGATGGATGGTGAGGATCAACTTGATCTAAGGGCTCATATTGAAGATATGGCCTTAACTTCAAGATCTGCAACTAATGAGGGCGAATTTGTAGGGATTTGGGCGGATCTGTAGGGATTGATGGGTTGACTGAGCAGATTCTTTGGGATCCTCATAATTGCCATCAACCTTCTAGAAGCCCTTACAAAGCCAGCCATCGTGATAATCTCGAGTAGAGCCTTGCTGGTCCGGCCCAAATAGATGCTATGCAAAATGGGCCGTGACATTCTCCCCCACCTAATTCGGCAACGCCCTCGTTGCCGTGAAAGTCTTGTGCTGGTCTGTGAGTTGCCATAGTTCGTTCTCCGGCTCACATTTTGCTGCCTCTCGTCACCCATTTTTTCCATCCGTTTGCGGGACTTCTTCAAACAAACCCGGGCAATGTTAGGAAGATCATGCCATGTTCTGACCATCTTAACCACTTCTCGACCTTTTGACTTGACCATCGGTGTGACCAAGGTCTGCTGAGTTAAATCTAATAACTCCAGGGGTTCTTTGGTTTCCCCTTTGTCTTGCTGACACAACAGGTAAGTCTTCCCCAACTCTTTGCCAGTGGTATCAGGGTTTAATCCTTCCCGATCCTGAGCCACGACCGTATCCAGGGCATGACTGATCGCCGGAAGATCTGCATGACTGGTGGGAGCTATGTGATGTGGTGGCTCGACTCCTACTTCCATCTCAATCTGATGAACTACCTCCCTCCTTGGTGGTAGCTCCTTGGGCAGCTCAGGTGGCATGATGTCTTTGTTCTGCTGAAAGACTGCCTTGATCATGGGTGAAGAGATACTTTCTTCCCATATCCCATCATCCACTTTCTTTACTCTCTTGGTGAGTTGCATCGCCTAGAGCTACCTGTTCATGTCCCCTTTCTCATTGGGTGACTTCACGGTTGGGATCATGCATACTGAACCCTTTTCAAGTATATAGACTATGTTAAGGGCAGGCATTGGGATCGCCGAGACTTGCCTCTGAAAGTCTAAACCCAGCACTACCTTGAAGTCATCCATTTGCGCCACTGAGAAGTTCATCGGACCCTTCCAAGCTCCCACACTAAGCTTGACATCCCTGACGACTCCCTGTAGTGGTTTGGCTTTGGCGTTCACTGCTTTAAGCCAACCCTCACCCTTGGTCCATGTGAGACCAAGTCTTCTTGCTTCCTCAACAGATATGAAATTATGGGTTGCGCCCGTGTCCACCATCGCTTGTGTTGGTTGCCCGTTAATGATGACTTCAACATACATCAATTCCTTACTTGTTACTTTGGACACTGGAGTTGTCCTTAAGGCATTGAGAAGTTGAAGAGATCCCATTATCTCGACCTCCTCCTCTTGAGTTTCGGCCTCTTTTTGCTCAAGAAGGGCGGACAAAGAACCCAGTTTTGGGCACTCCCTTGCTAGGTGTGGTCCCTTGCACACATAACATCCGCTTCTCGGTACAAAAGCGCGCTTCTTCGCCTCGTACTCATCACGCCTCGAATCTCTTTTCTGGTTCCGAGCCTCATACCCGTCACGCCTCGAGTCTCTTCCATGGTTCCGAGTGTTAGACGGTGTCACCTGGTCCTGCTTCTCTTCCTCCAAAGGTCGAACCACCTTTTCTTTTCTCTTGAAGTCCTCTGTCTGGTTTTCCTCATATAAATCAGAAAGAGATTCAGCCGCGGCAATGGCTTCGTCCACAGACTTCACCCCACGCCGCTGCAACTCCTGTTTAGCCCATCCTTGGATCCCATCCACGAAATGAAACACCAAGTCTTGGTCGGACAGATTTGGAATCTGCAATGAGAGGGTAGTGAAATCCTTGACATACTCTCGGATTCTACCCCTCTGTCGAAGTTCCCTCAACTTCCTCCGTGCCTCATAGACTACATTCTCCGGATAGAACTGCCGCTTAAGTTCCTTCCTGAACTCCTCCCATGTGTTCATCCGATATGTGCCCCTCTCGATGTCACCGTGGCGCCTCCTCCACCACAGTATGGCCGTATCTGTGAGGTAGGATGTGGCCGCCTTGATCTTTGCCAACTCATCAGTAAGACCAAGGTTATCAAAGTACTGCTCCATCTGCCATAGGAAGTTCTCAACTTCCTTAGCATCCCTTGAGCCATCAAAACGGGAGGGTCTCGGGAAATCTACTCTTCCCGTCCCGGGGTTGTTGGTACCTCCATTGGCAACTGCCTTCTTGCACAATGCAAGATCTTCTTGCATCACCTCGATGCTCACCTTCAACGACTGGACTGCCCCCATCACTGTCTCCTCCAACCTGGTGAATCGTCCCTCGATCCCACCCAAGTCATTCTTGACTTCTGCCATCTCGTTGAACAGTGCGTTCTCGAGTTCAGAAGTCGAGTGTTCGACTCACTCTAGTCGTTCACCCATATCGGTAATGGCTATCCCCATAGCCCCGACCTCATTACGGACCTTGCTCCTGTCGCGCTTCCTCCTGGTAATGTTCTCAAGGCCGTCCTGGTCTTCGCCTCCATTGGTACTCCTGAGAACATCCTCGGTGTTCGACATTGCTCGGCCTTTGAACGGAACCTGGCTCTGATACCACGTGTCACGGACTTGATATCTGGGATCAATTCCGTACGGCCCTAGCCTCTCTTTGCCCCAGCAAATAAACTAGGCAGCCTTCACAAGAAAACCCAACCTTTTTTAGACTGAACTTGAAAGAAAGAAGGGAAAATATTTGAATAGCTCTCTTATTTAAGAAATGAGTGAGTGATTACAAATGAGGGATCCCACCCCTATTTATACAAAAACACCTCCAAGATGGATGGTGAGGATCAACTTGATCTAAGGGCTCATATTGAAGATATGGCCTTAACTCCAAAATCTGCAACTAATGAGGGCGGATTTGTAAGGATTTGGACGGATCTGTAGGAATTAATGAGTTGACTAAGCAGATTCTTTGGGATCCTCATAATTGTCATCAACCTTCTAAAAGCTCTTACAAAGCCAGCCATTATGATAACCACGAGTAGAGTCTTGCTGGTCCGGCTAAATAGATGCTATGCAAAATAGGCCGTGACAGGAGGGACCAATTTCTCTATGGATCATATGGTCTATGTGGATAACTCTCAATAAGAAGATCTTTGATGAGCGCCACCTAACACCGATGTAAGTGATGACTCAGAGCCTCCGTAATGCAAGAGAGTGGCTCGCCGCCCAAATACGTCTCCCACCATCAGATCATCAATTAGTACACAAGGATTGCCGAGAGATATCACAACAAGTGTGAATATGCCACACAAACGCAGCCTGGAGAGGTGATTCAAAAACCGCGGGATTCAGATGGAGCTCCAGCACCAGATCGGAATCGAAGATCAGAAAAGAAGAAGCAGCAGCACGATCAATCACATCTCCATTAATGGCGGAAGGAATTGCCCTCCTTCTTGCACTGCAACATGCAACAAATCTAGGGCTTAGACACCTCTCAGTCGTTTCTGATTGGTAGCAGCTAATCAAAGTAATCAACAATGAACTTTCTCCAAAAAAATCTCCACGGGATTCTTCATGACATCCTGGATCTTTCGTCTTCTTCCTTCTTTATTGGAATCAATTTTAGATTTGTTTCAAGAGAAGCCAATACACGGGTTGATACTCTCGCTAAATATGTTTTATACTCTTTCGGTCAATGACCGGTTTAGAGTTGAATGAACCGATGCACTTGCACAAAAAAGAAAAGTAATATGTAGTTTTTAATTTTTTATAGTATTAAAGGTGAGCAAACAACACTTAACAATTCGAGATACCGTTATGACTGAACATTCAAAGACCTTTTTCCATGACGAAGAAGAAGGCAAATCTAATTGTATATATATGTGAGCAACACCTTATATGAGATCCTTGAAGTTCGTCCTGGATTCTGATGTACAAAGTACGGTCTCATATATAGCAGTTATCCAATGAACCTTGTACAGATTCTATGTCGTTATTTTATATGCTAGTACGAACAGGGGCGAAATCATGTTATTAGCTATTGGGGCATGTGCACTCATCATATTATTAATATTCAAAATTTTGTGTACAAAATTATTGAAATCATGTTAGCTGAGTTAGAGAAAACAGAAAACCATCAAGTGCACCCACAATATCTCAAGTTCGATTCTTTTTTTTTATTTCTATTAATAGTGCATCCAGTGAATAATTCTTCTAGATTTGCCCCTGAATACGAAGCAGTGCATGCATCCCGTGTCTTTTGGACCCAAACGGAATGATGGGACCGGCCGTTGATATTTGATATATAGTCTTTTGTTGTGTTGTTCTTGAGATTTCGTATAACATTTCTTCGTCTTCTATCAAATATTATAAAAATCATCTTTAGTTAGTGGATCATTTAGATGTATTAATGTTTATATATTTGTTTGATATAGGTTGTTCATTGTGATTAATCACTGATTCACATTTCTGTTAGTTGTACCTTGAAAGATGATTATTTTGGGTACATCTAAGTATATAAAGAGTTATAGTTCCTATATAAAAAAATCATTGTACACGGGTTTTCATAACACTGGTTGAAACCAAATTTTCTTTCGAATGATTTTAAAATAGAAAAAGATTTATAAAAATAAGAAAAATATTCATGTGGTTTTCTTAAATCTTTACTTCGTTACAAGGACAGATAGAGAGATAAAAAGAAAAATCTAATGTAGATTTTTGGAGGGGGAGGGGGGGCAAATGTGAAGATGGCATAAGATAACAACAATTAGGTGACAGAGACAAATTTCTGATTAATGGTATGACTATTGACTTCGATAGCTTGTTTAGAAATGGCATGACGAGCGTGGAAACCTTTTAATCTCTCAAATATTTCCTCTAACTCTGATTCTTCGGTTCCGATCGATATCCTCACCCAATTCTTTGCTCCTAATGCCACTCCTACAATATTCCAACAGTAAAATTAAAACTTAGTTATTTGAAACCATATGCATTTGAAATTGTTGACTATGGGAGCCCAAGTTTTTCATATATTGTTAAAGAGATCAATACCTGGTAAAAGGACAAGACTCTCTTCATTGACTAGCTTCGTGCAGAAATCAAAATCATTTTTGATATCATCCAGCTGTGATGTGTCAAGCTTTACCTACAGTAATATCGTCTAAACTAGTTAGTTATGTCGATTATAATGTTATGAAATGATCCATATATATATAGATTATGAATTTATTGTTCCTGACACTATGGGCGTATCCTAAATACAAGAAAAAAACAATACCCATATGTAAGAACATGATTCAGGTTTCTTGAGGCAAGAGAGACAAGGAATGTCCTTGAGCCTCTCACAAGAAATCTCCACGTTGCGTCTCATGGCTTTATTCTTCTTGTCGAAATACTCTTTAGGTGTTTTCTCCAATATATCACGAAGTGCTTCCTATCACAATCCATATACAAACTCACATTATTTCTATATGTTAAGAGCTTATAGCTTTAATGTTTAGTGGATTGTAAGTGACTACAAACCTGAAGAATAAATGAAGGTTGTGGAGTTAATTCAAGACAATCCTCTATTGCTTGAACTACCTGGTGTCAACAAAAGACCCAAACTATTAACTAGACTATTCTCAATGAATATGCACAAATGTATTAGTTAAATTATGGTTTTATATTATAAATATTTGGCGCACATCTACTCTATGTTATTGGATATTAAACTTTCCGTTCTAAAACAAATCAAATAAAGGAATCTGACTAACCCCTGTATGTTTAAGAATGCCAATAGAATCGTTCATGGCAATCCAACCGATTCTCCAGCCCGGGACAACCCATCCTTTGGATATGGATCCTAGCGTGATCACCGGAGCTATAGATGCGAACATACCCATGGGAACAAAGGGCCTGTCTCCAAATACAACATGATCATATACTTCGTCGGATATTACCATTATACCGAGTTTCCTAGCCATCTCCGCAACCTATAAAAAATTAATCAATCCAAAACAAAACAACAAAAAGTTACTTCGTTTACCAATAAATTTTTTTTTTTATCTTATATATGACCGTTTATGTATAATATATGAAAAAAAAAAACGAAACTATACCTTGTTAAGATGATCGTAGGAGTAGACGTTTCCACATGGATTGTTTGGGTTGATAAGAATCATTGCGACGGTATTCTCATCTGCAATAGCCTCAAGTTCGTTTAGATCGATCTCGAAATCTCTTTCCGGGAGGAGGTCGTATTTGCGAACCTCAACGTGGCTATAAACAGCACGAGCATCGTAGTGAGGATAGCCTGGTCTTGGAAGCAGAATGTTGGCTGCTGGATTTCCCGAAAGACTATCCATTAAGATCTCTATCGCTTGGTTGCATCCGCCGGTGATATACACATGTTCTGGACTTAGCTTAGTCGGAAGCTCGCCGTTTAAATAATCTACCACCGCTCTGAGAAAAAAATTAGTGGGCCAATAATTAGTGAGTTATATAATTTATATAAGTCACTCAAAATGTCATCTCAAGAACCTTTTCTAAAAATAAAATAAAAACTTGGTAGTTCCGGGCCAAATTCTTCCAGTAGAAATAAGTATTTTGATATTCTTATTTAAATAGAAAATTTTCGTGCCAAATGGAATTTGAATTCGGAACACAAATGAACCAAACCCTTTACTACCTAGGCCACCACTTTTTTGGTGTTATCTTAAGAAATCATTTTTTTTTTAGTTTTTTTTTAAAAGTCAATTTTATAATCAAACCTTCTAGCGTTGAAAGTTCCGGGGCTAGGTGCATAAGAGTTGGCCGTGCCGGACCGGACGGCTGCAACGATAGCTTCCTCCGCTTGAGGGGAAGGTTTGAAGCTGTGAGTGACGGAAGGCAAAATAGTCTTTCCACTGTTTAAGTTGCCGTTTTTAAACATCTCAAAGAAAAGCTTTCTCAACGTTACGGCAGCTGCATCACTCATCGCATCGTTTCCTTTGAACCGCCAAACGCATTCATTTGCGTTGCAGTCGTCACTGCTGTTGCCCGCCATCGTTTAGATTCTTCTTTTTAGCTAAGAGTACAGGGTTCTGAGTTGTGGATACATCTCATTCCTCTCGAGCCCTTTATAAAGGAAGCACACAAAGAATAAAATATTAAAGAAAAGTCTTTTAGCGCAGTGCATATGCAGCAATATTTTAGTATCTTAGTCTCATTTGTTAGGTGAGAACATATATATAAAACGTTTTTAAAACATCCCAACACGAGTTCTCTATCCATATGTTATTATTATTATTTTTGTTAAATGTTATTTTTAATTGCTGACATCGGGTGTTTTATCGTGCTCATCCCCTTATTATAAAGTATAAACAGTGAGAGGAATTTTCTCACTAAAGCCTCTTATTTTGACCAAACTTAAACGTATTTTAATTTATTTTTATCGGTACGCTGGCAAACTAATACGTATTCATTTAGTGATTTTTAGACTATTATATGAAATCCATAATATATTAGTCTCAGTTTACGAAAAAATATTTCAAAATGTGAAATTCTACATATTCCAGAGGCACGGGCACAAATAGTTTATTTTTTATCGGTCAACCTTTTGCATTAAGTTACAAACCCAACAAAGGATATGAGAATCCCTCGGGAGAAGTTAAAAGCACAACAAGGAGTAACATCAAATCCCCTTAAAATGAACAATTATCTTTTGGTGGCTGTTCAATGACTGTTGTCTCTCAATTTTCGTAGAACAACTCCTGGATGATTTGGGTGAACTTTGCTTTAAATAGGAAAACTTTTAGTTTTCTTGGAGGGTTGTTCGATTGAACAGCATTGGATCAGCTTCTTTTGGAAATTCCTGAGGGATGTAATCAAGCGGATGTTCAATCCAAGTTAGGTCGTTAACGAACACTTTCAAGTATTTTGGTTACTCTATTATGATGCTAGACAGACCAATTTTCAGTATTTTGAACATAATTTTCGATATGACCGTATGATTGACTTAAAATCATTTGAAGATAAAAGCTAACATATTCAGCTATCTTGTGTTGCTTTGGGAACGTTCCTTTTGGCTACTTGAAGTATAGAATCAATATAACAACATATGACTAGAAAAAAAAAAACAAAATGAAATATAATCGTTGTTGTGCTTATTCAGCCTTTTTAGTCATTTTCTTCTTGTAGTATATGTATTTTAAATTATATTTTGAGGATCCGCCATGGGAAATTTTAGAATTCTTTTAGTAATCGTTAATGTGCGATGATTGTACAATCTGATTTCCTCCTGTGAGTTTCCTTTAGGAAGAGGACAGGCAGAGGTAATTCTCCGAATGCAGACCGTTGAAATATTGAATTGTTAATAATAACATACGTAAATTACAGTAATATATTACCATCTGACATTGACACGTTGAAGAAATGACTTATAGCCCATACAGTGTTTGGCCATCCCTAAACCACCTCGATTGACTTTTCTCGCTCTTGAATATATTTTTCTCTTCAAGATGTGGTACGGGTCCGCTCAATGCACCAATTTAGTACGTAGTATACAAACGATTTTGTTGTTTTTTCGTTGATAATTTCCTTAAATACTATTAAGTTCTAAAATAACAAATTGAAGTTTTTCTTTAGTAATGATGACAAAAACACTATTAAGAGGAAAGTACGATGGAGACGATTTTCCACTGGAAGATAAAGTTTCCCGTTTTTCATCGACCGAGAGGAGATGAATGGGCAACCCGGGACCATAGAGCGGGAGCGGATAAAGACAAACAACAGTGAGAAATTGCTAGTACTGGCTTTTAACAAACAACAGTGAGAAATTATGACAAAAGTAAATGATTTTTTGTGTCTTCTATGAGCTAGTCAATATTATTTAATAATACAATTATTTTAGGAACTGGTCATACAAACTACGATCAGCACATGCTCTCTCATGTGTTACAGAAGCCTAACGCTGAATCAACTACAATTCTCCTTGTATTGCATACCTCAATAATTATTTATTTCAAAATTTGATTCGTGATTATATATAAATTCCATTACAAACTTATGGAGTCATGGCAGGGTACAACATTCATCCTGTAAACCCTAACATTCAATGTGATACAAGGAAGACAACTACAATCAGATAACAGTAGCAACTCTCTGGTTAACGGTATGACCATTGAGTTTGATAGGATCCTTGGAGAAGGCATGACGACCATAGAAACTTTTTAATCTGTCAAATATTTCTTCTATCACTGATTCGTCGGTTCCGATCGATATCCTCACCCAATTCTCTGCCCCTAGAGCCACTCCTGCCAAATTCCACAAACAAAGTAATCATTTGAATATAAATAAACCAGATTGTTTTTGATAATACTAGATTAAACTTTATAAATTAGAACCATGCATATGCAATAAAATATAGTTTCAATACTTATTAGTTCAATACCTGGTATAAGGACAAGACTCTCCTCACTAACTAGCTTCGTGCAGAAATCAAAGTCATTCTTGATAGTATCCAACATTGATGTGTCAAGCTTGACCTGTGAAATAAATTTGTTTAATCTAGTTAGTTCGTTATAAAACGATTATAAAGGTATGATCCCTGATGAGCAGGTTGATTATGAATTTATGTTCCTGGATAATGGTTTAAATAAAAAAATTCAAATCCTAAATTTTAAAATACAATATCTAGAATACATATTCAATTAAGTAAAAGAAAGTACCCATAAATAAGAACAAGATTCGGGTTTCTTGGGGCACAAGAGACAAGGAATGTCCTTGAGCCTCTCACATGAAAGCTCAACGTTGCGTCTCATGGCTTTGATCTTCTTGGCGAATAACTCCTTTGGTGTTTTCTCCAGTATATCAGGAAGTGCTTCCTAAATTTCATATAGATATCATTTAGAAACGTCTGTATATATAAAATCTTAAATCTACTATGTATATTTGATAAGAGCTTATATAGCTTCTGATGACATGTGTAGTTAATTAAGTGAGAGACTACAAACCTGAAGAATAAATGAAGGTTGTGGAGTCAAATCAAGACAATCCTCTATGGCTTGAACTACCTGTGTCAACAAAATTCAAAATATTAGTTACTCTTCGTAATTAATGTAAACTTATAATTGAAATTAGGGTTTAGAAGTTAACTAACCCCTGCAGATTTAAAAATGCCATTAGGATCGTTCATGGCGATCCAGCCGATTCTCCATCCGGGAATGACCCATCCTTTGGATATGAATCCAAGCGTGATCACTGGAGCTATTGATGCAAACTTCCCCATGGGAATAAAAGGCTTGTCTCCATATACAACACGATCATATACTTCGTCGGATATCACCATTATACAAGTTTTCTAGCCATCTCGGCAACCTAAAGATGGATCCATAGAAACAAAATGATGTTAGTTCGCTTATTTATATGTCACAACTATATAAAGGATATGAATGGTATATGAAAAAGATTTATTATACCTTGGTGAGATGATCGTAGGTGTATACGTTTCCACAAGGATTGTTGGGGTTGATAAGAACCATTGCGACGGTATTCTCATCAGCAGCAGCCTCGAGGCCGTCGAGATCGATCTCCCAATCCCTTGTGGGTAGGAGATCGTATTTGCGAATCTCGATGCCTCTATAGACTGCTCGAGCATCATAGTGAGGATAGCCTGGCCTTGGAAGTAAAATGTTGGCCGCTGGATTTCCGGCAAGGGATTCTATTACGATCTCTATCGCTTGGTTGCAACCGCCGGTGATGTAAACATCCTCCGCTCTCAGCTTTGCTGGAAGCTCTCCGTTAAGATAATCTGCCACGGCTCTGAGAAAAAAAAAGTAGGCAAAACAACTAATGAGTCATTATGTAAAAAAAAAACGATAGGTTACTTGAAGATCTTCTAAAACTTTTGGGAACCAAAATGAATTTCTAGATTAGACCTTCTAGCCTTGAAAATGCCGGGACTTGGTGCATAAGAGTTGGCCATGCCGGAGCGTGCGGCTGCGGCCACGGCTTCTTCAGCTTCAGGGCAAGTCTTGAAGCTGGGAGAAGCGGAGGGCTCGCCGGGACTTGGGAACAAAACAGTCTTTCCACTATTCAAGGTACAGTTTTTGAACATCCCGAAGGCAAGCTTTCTCAATGTTACTGCTGCCGCGTCACTCGTTGCACCATTTCCTTTGAACCGCCAAATGTTGCTGTCGCTTGCGTTGCAGTTGTCATCACCATTGCTCACCATCGATCTCTCTGACTTGCTTTAGGATTCTTCTTTTAAGCTGTGAATTCAAGTTTTGTGTTTATGGTTAAATCTCATTCTGATGGATCCCTTTATAAAGGGCCACAAGAAAGACAAAAATAATAAGAATTTTCAACACAATATACACATGCAGCAATATTTAGTGTATTTTATCATTATTTAATTGTTCTCAGACAAAATTATATTGGGTTAATTTGTGATATAACCACATTACACCATAAACTAAAGAATATAACCATACTAATTTCATAATTCATTCAATAACCAAAAATCCTAACATTTATCTTTTTTATCCTTCAAACCAAATTTATAAACACATTATTATACTATACTATATCAATTTATACTACTATACTATACTATTTATAAAATGTTTGTTTCATATATATTGTATAGAAAAAAGGAGAAGGAGAAGGAGGAAGAGGAGAAAACGGTAAAGGAAAGTGAAAGGGAAGAAGAGAAAAAATAGGAGGGAAAGGAAAAAAACTAGAAAGATAAATTTGTATATATTGTAGAATATATACAAAATATCATAGCCATTGTTTTTTATGGTTAGTTTGTATATTTTTGAAATTTATATGGTTACTTGACCCAATTTCTCAATTATGGGTTAATTTGTGATATAACCACATTACACCATAAACTAAAGAATATAACCATACTAATTTCATAATTCATTCAATAACCAAAAACCCTAATATTTATTTTTTTTACCCTTCAAACCAAATTTATAAATACATTATTATACTATATTATATCAATTTATACTACTATACTATACTATTTATAAAATGTTTGTTTCATATATATTGTATAGAAAAAAGTAGAAGATGAGAGAGGACGGGGGAGGGAGGTAGGGGAGGGAGGTAGGGGAGGGGAGGTAGGGGAGGGGAGGTGGGGAGGGGAAAAGATGGGAGATGAAGGTGAGGGGAAAAAGAGGAGGAGGAAGAGGAGAAAACGGTAAAAGAAAGTGAAAGGGAAGAGAAGAAAAAATAGGAGGGATAGGAAAAAAACTAGAACGATAAATTTGTATATATTGTAAAATATTTTTGAAATTTATATGGTTACTTGACCCAATTTCTCAATTATATTTACATATATGCAAAATACTAAAATAAATATTCCAGCACGTGAAAGGTCTATTAATTTGTTATTTTAATTGTCCAGGTAGTTGACTATACATTATACACAACATGCAGCAATAATTAATTTAGACTATAAAACGAAACCAGTAATACAATAGTCTCCAGTGCTGAAAAATATCCGATAAAGCAAGAAAAAATATCCGATACAGCAAGAAAAATATTCCGATACTATTGAGATCGTGAATATATAATTAACACACTGTGTGCCTGTGGCCGCCTTTTATAGACTCATTAGCACATGCATCTCCTATACAGTATATACAAGAGAAGTTCAACAAGGAGACTTATAAAGTATTGACCGGTTCTTCCCTTAATATTAGCAAATGCAGTTTTTGCGATCGGTTGTTGTTGTTTGATTAAAATAAGCATTTTCAACTGTTTTGTACCGTTTTTTTCTCTTTCAAAATTAAAAAGCTTTCTTACTAGTGTTTGCATTTGCAAGCAGTGCGAATGGATAACTAAAAATTAAATATATATATATATATATAATTAAAATCAAAATATATATTATATTTAAAAAAATAAGTTTTGAGTATTATAACTGTAATATATAAAAGAAAATTGGACACTTTTTGAAGTAATATAAATTAACTTTTGTTATGGTCTAAAATTGATATTCGTTAACTATTAATCAAATTTTTATATTTATAAGATTTTTAACTCAAAAAATTTAGATAATTTTTTCTATTGCTAATATATATATTAACTAAAAAATATTTTAATTTAAGTTTAAAATTCACAAAAATCATAATTTTCATCCAAACTAAATATAATTAAGAGATAAACTTAAGTATCATACATATAGTATTTTTATGATTTTTCTTATTATTATTAAAGTAATAATTTTATATTTTCTTATAATAATATATTTTTGATGTTTTTATTATATAATATACTTATATTGTTATTTTGTTGTGTAGCCATTTTGTACTATTTGGCCTATTAATCAAAATTGTCCCGCATATAAAGCTATAATTAAAAAAACACACAGTTTAAAATATGCAACCTAATTATTGCAATTGATAAAATACTAAAAACAATTTTATCTTATAATATTTCTATAATAAGCCAAATTAAAAAACAAATAAAAAACTGAAAATACAACACATGAATGCCATAAAATAGGACGTCAAGTCTGACTGATTTAAACGCTTTGTGATTATCGATGTGGGAGTTTGCGGAAGCGAATGATTACGATTAACAGCGTTAACCAGCAGTTTGTACGACTCATACAGTGATTGAAAATGGGTGTATTTGCAAAATATTTTTGACTAGTTGGTGAGCGGGTATAAAAACGATTACACAATAATATAATAATATAAATATATTATATAATTAAAAACAACAAAAAATATTATTATGAGAAAATATAAAATTATGAATTTAATATAATAAATAATAAAAATCATTAGAATACTATATACATATTACTTACGTTTATTTATTAATTATGTTTTAGTTTAGATGAAAATTATAATTTTTTTGAATATTAAAATGATATTAAAATTATTTTAGTTATTAGATATATATAACCATTAGTAGTAGAAAGAAATTTTATCTAATTTTTTTTGTTAAAGAATTTATAAATATAAAATTATGATTAATATTAATAAATAAAAATTTTAGACCATAAAACATGCTTAATTAATATTACTTCAAAATGTATTAAATTTATTTATATATTTTTAATTATAATATTTAAAACTTGTTTTAAAAAAAATTGTTATATATTTTGATTTTAAATAATTTTTATATTTTTAATTTTGAAATATTTAATTGTCCAACCGCAATCTGCTGCAACCGTAAACGCTAGTGGAAATGAGCTTTTGATTTTGAAGAAAAAAAAATGGTACAAAATAGTTACAATTATTTTTCGTAATTATTGTCAAACGCCAGCAATCACTACCATCCGCAAAAGTTATGTTTGTAGATGTTAGCGGAAGAACCAGTTAATACTTAAACCATATGGTATTTCGAGCATTTGTATCAAGGATAATACTAACATATAGGATCAAATAATGTTATATTTAACTAGGAGTAATCTTTTTCTCTCTCTTACTGTTTAAAGTAAAATGTCTTTTTATTATTTTATTCTTTACCTAATTAAAAATGAAGAGAAAGGAGAAGAAAAAATAAAATAAAAAATGTATTGAAGAGGTAGATATTTGTGATGGTAACTATAGTAGTGATAAAGATAATGGTAATAATATTGATGACAGTGATGGCAATAGTGGCAATGGTGGTAACAATAATTTAGTTGGTGGACGGCTATAAAGGTAACGACAACAACAATAGTATCGACAGCGGTGGTGATAATGAGTTAACATGTATGATATATAACTGGTTTAATATATATTTCATATTTTATTAACTTATTTAACATCTTAATTACATAATAACAATATCAACTTATATTTTTTTTGATATGATAACATGATAATTTTTCTTGGATAACTTGATTGACAAGATAAAATTGCTTTGATAATGGCTTGGTAATTAAATTAAACAAAAAAGAAGTTTTTTAGTTTCAAACAAGTTTCTCTTTCCTATCTACCTAATTTGAAAACTTATAAACTCTCTACCTAATTACTTGGTGAACCAATGGTTTGCAGTAAAAATATCATTGTATCAATCCCTCGGTACAATTTTGTTATTTTATAATTTTCTTCAATATTTTCAGAAGGTTTTGTAGTTTCAGTTTGCTTCTTGTTTTGTAAAGGAGTGAGGTGGTCCCTAGGTTCTGTACCAAACTGACAAAAAAAAAAAATGTCAAGTGGTTCATTTTTGGGACAATAATTTACTCAGTCCTATCAATAAAATGGCCAAAGAATTAATTGGTGTTTTTGCTGATGTGTGGGATAGGAAAATATTTAGGTAAATCTGAAAATCTACGTGTTTTAAAGGTCTGAATTTTTGCTCGTCTCACTACAAGAAATAACACCTATATACGATAAGATATAGACAAAGTTCACTTTCCGCCTATAATTAGTCCATATTAATTTTGATTTATTCTCTTTCCCTTTATATGTGTATATTCGATCTCTCTATATATAAAACAGAGTATGTATTGTGAATAATAGAGATAATTACATCCAAAGGCATTTTAGCAAAGTCCAATTAACAAAGGTACATTTTACTACTCACATACTTTAGTTATATTGTAAAGTTACTTATACCTTTTTACCTTACAAAATTCATTTTCTCTTTGTAAAAATTGCAGTGTAGAGATTAAGAGTTTGAAACCTCTAAGGATGGTGAATAAACATTTTTTTCAGCCTTTTCTTCCTTGCTTTTATAGCCACTTAGTACTTTTTCATTTTGTGTTTTTCTTTCCATGGTTTTGAAAGTTTCCACTTTTCATATTCATCTTTCTTCTTCCTTTTTTATTCTCTGTTATTCTCATTTGTTTTAATCTCTTTTCCAATTTAAATCTGGAAATCTCCTCCCTCTATTTGGTTCTCAGATTAAAAACAACAATTAAGATTGTACAAGCTTGATATTTCTAATTCATATAAGTTAAGAATCTTCGATCTGATCTGGGTTTAAAAATTTCAATACTTCAAAATTATTGCTTTTTTTTTGTAGATGATTTCAGATTTATTTTACTGATTTTTGTGGAATCGATGTAGTAAATGGTAAAATTTAGTTCCCCTTTGTTATGCCATTCTTTTTTAGCATTTTCATCATAATGTTGAGATTTCTTGTTATAGGATTTTTGATGATTTTTCTAGATCTCAGATTATTACAGCACCATAGAAAATTACTGGATTGTGTGGTTAATTTTTGGTTGACAATAATTATGGTCAAGTTTTGGTGGACAAGATGGTATAGTCAGTTTTTGTGAACTTGTGGATATGTTCTGATGGATACCTTTCATGGATATGTTCCCAAATTGGAGGCACCAAAATAAGAAGAATCGTCCTTCCTTAAACCACTTCAGTGGCCACCGTAGATGTCAAGGTAAGGACCCTAACCAACGAAACTATGGACAGTAATGAGTTAATTTAGTAGATTGTGTCCACGAGAGTGTTCTTTGATGTGTTCATGTTGATATGTCCATTATATTGTTCCATGGATTGTGTCCTCGTGATTGTATTAAGTGGTTTTCATGGACATATTGTGGTGGACAAACACTCACGAACGGGGTTTCATAGACATATTATGGTGGACAAACACTTATGGATGGATTCTCATGGAAACAATCCCATGGATACGGCAGTTGTACATGTTGATTGTGTTCAAGCAATTGTGTCCATTATATTATACACATCATCTGCTCCCTTCAAGTATGTAACGATTAGGGGAGATGAGCAGAGACGAATGGATTACCCTATTGCTGTTATGTAGTTTATTTTTTTGTTTTTTTTAGTTTGCAAATTGTAATTGGTTTGAGAATTTGTTTACTTTTATTATTTTTGTATCTCTATACAAATTTACAGATCTGCAATTGAGAATTTTAGATGATAAAAAAAGTAAGAAGTTTATTTTACAAAATCTGAGCTTTAACCAATTATGATGTTTTTGTAGATATCGGACAAGTAATCTCACGGTAGCAAAATAAAAATTTTTCTGAAACTGAGATTACTACTTTGAAAATGCAAGAAACTATTCTGCTTGATCTTCAAATTTGATTTGATCATTCTTGAAGAAAAGATTTAGAAGTACGATTTGAACCATTTTGAATGGTGATACTTCATTTTTGAGAATTTTTTCATTGTCCATATATAAGTGTCCATGACGCTCTGTCCATCATACTCATATCCATATGTTAATACCATTCCCATACAAAGATATCCAGTGTTTGCTCAAATATTTTCCCCAGTCTGTGATATAAATTTATGGATATAAAGTTCAGAATAACTCTGCAAAAACTGTCCATTTACAAATTGGACATGCAGTTATGGATACTAAGTTGTGGATATAAATTCACAGATATAAAGTCATGAATAAGAGGTTGCAGACATGATCGATTGGAGAAAATAACATGTATATATATAGGTAGCTCTCTTCATGATCTTGGTCTTTTCTATATATGTCATAGCTCTTTTCATAATGTATACACTACTAAGTAATGATCTAAAATGGATAACACTATTGATGAGTTTAAATGGTTATCTCTAATCCCCATGGCTATAGCAAAACCAGTGGTATGAATAAACATGTTTGTTCACAGTCGATTAGATGAACTCAAATTGATAACACTTTTAAATGTGTATACATATACGAGATTGTTGTGGATAACCTGTAATGGACACTTTGTTATGTACAAGATCATATGGACAGTTTATAATATAAACCATGGACATAAAGGCATGGACAACAACGAGCGAAAACATTACATTGCTAATTATGGACACGAAGGCATACATAGCAACGAGCGGAGATAATATGTGCTCATAATTTTGTATCAATGTTTTTTGTATTCATGCTTTTGTATCCATACATTCTTGTCCACGAGTTGTGTGTACGTATTTGTGTCATCGTTTCTGTCCATACCTCTATGTCCAGGACATTCTACCTATTGTTTCTGTCCATGCCTCTATATTCTATGAATATTGCAAAAAGTTTGACTTTCTTTATCTAAAAATCGAAATTTGATCTTCAATCACATGATCATGAATAACTGTCCACTTTATATAATCCATTGATTCGTATCCATGAAGGTTTCATCTTCCTTTAAATTGAAGAACAGCTTCTCAGAGAAGGCGGACACTTAACTTCTATTGATCAACTAGCTGACGCACTTACTAAGCCACTCCCGCAAGCTCAATTCAAATTCTTAAGTGCTAAGATGGGACTCTCCTCTGGCCGTCAGTCTTGAAGAGACGTGATAAGATATACAAAGGAGCTCACTTTCTACCTGTGTAGTTAGTCCACATTAACTGATTTATTCTCTTTTTCTCTATATATATTCAATCTCTCTATATGTAAATAGAGTACCTATTGTGAATAATATACTCAATCAATTTTACAAATCCAATAATATATTTGTCGGAGTCTCAGGGAGTCAGCGAAAATCAATATTCACCAACTTTCTAAAACAGTCAGCGAAAATCAATCTTCACAACTTTCTAAAACATTCATATTCGCCAAAAATAGAATTCAGAAATCAAAATTTGTCGAAAGACAGATCATTCAAACCAAGGCAATGTTCGAAGAAAAGAGATGGCTCTGATTGGTAACACTTGTGGAATCCAAAAACGCAAGAATTTTGCCAATAAAAAAAACATGCGGAAAACCGCAAAAACGCAAGATCTGCGGAACTACGTTTTTGCTTACAGAAAATACAAAGAAATCTTCATTAAGCGGAAAAGCGTGTTTGGAGTAAATTATTTGCTGAATCAATGTTTACATTATTCAATTATATTTTATTATTTAAATAAATACAAATAAATAATTTAGTATTACAAAAAATTATTTAATGATAAAATTATATATATTATTTAAGGTTTGCAATATTTTTTTTATGAAAAACAAATTATTAAAAAATTACAATTAGAATTATATCATTTTATAATAATTGATTGAATTATTAATATTTTTTTATATATAATATATAGTAAAAAACAGAATATTTTCAATAAGTATATTCTGTAATTCCGCAATTCCGCCATAATTTATCCAATCGTATTATTTAAAAAAAAGTTCTACAATTCCACAATAAATGATTCCACAATTCATTTTTTCCGCCATTTCGCAATTCCATGATATAAAAAATGAGTTGTTGTGCTACTAATAAGATTAACGTTTGAGCTACTCTTATTGTCGAATTCGCGAGATCGAGATGAGTGACGCGGACTAAGAATAGTAAACCAATCACAATAAAAACCAAGTAGAACCGGATCGAGAGAAAACAGACCGAAGCGCAGAGAATTAGACACAAATGACGTTTAAAACTTTTGATATGTAGGAATCAAGATCTCACGATTACAAGAACTCACTCCCTCACCACATACATTTCCCATGAAAACTTTTTCTAACACAACAGAAAAATGCGAGTTTTTTTGCCAAGTCGAACCGATTCTGGTTCTCTCATTTATTTCTCGGTTAATGCTTAATGCATTCCGTATTAAAGTTACCGGGTATAAATGAAGTAGCCTTAAAATGAAATCCATTTTGGTTGTTGACAGGAGAAGGGGAAATGAATAATAATGAACATATACGTTGACATTTATACACAATCAAAATACATGTACAAAGAAATATGCATATCCAATTCATATATCACTTGAATCAATATAAAAACATTTTCGCTCTGTAAAAAAAAAAACATCAAAGGCCAAAACACTTAGCTTGCTTTTTGTTCATCATCTACAACGGCACTGGAGGCTTTTCCAACCACTTGGCACGAAACCCAGTTCCTTTGCAATCGCTACAGCAAGCAGAACCCTAAAAAAACATCAAAAGAATCGAATGTTTATACTTGTGTGAGGATATATAAAACAGAAAACAGAGAAAAGCGATAAACCATTGAGAGTTCCAACCTTCCCGGAGCAGATAACGCAAGAAGTATTCCTTGAGGGAACCTGGCAAAGCATGTTATCACCGAGGATGAAGAATCCTGTACCAGCACACCATTTGCATTCAACGTGGCCCTTCGAATTACACGATGAACATCCAACGGGTCTTGGTTGCTGCAGTCAATATAAAAAAAAAGATACAGAAAAAAACATTGGATTAATCAAAAACATCAGGTCTTGTAACATCTAGCAACAGGAGCGAGCTAATTATCTGTAAAAAACGGCACACAACACAAGTTCAATACACTAACCCTTGACGAAACTACAAATGGTAGAAGAAAGAAAGGCTTCAGAATCTTAACTTGTGACAGATTCTTTGTACAAGGATCTAGTTTTTTACATTAATCTGTTTGTTTAAAGGGAAAAGGGAAAAATCACTCAGGGATCACACAAGGAACATAGACAAGGTACAGCCTAATTAAGCAACTAACGTGTATGTCACAATAAAATTGGAATTGGGAACAAGTTATACACTTTTCACCAGCCAAGTAACTTTTGACTATAGAGACAACCCCAAAGTTACTTTGCAATGAAAGATTTCGATATTGAGTAGCTTTAAGGTAGAGGACGTTTTTAAATGTGCTGAAACTTGATTGATATTGAGTAGATTTCGAAATTTACCATAATTCATCAAAGATCCAAGTTCTTAATCTTATACGAAATTGCATACATCTCGTGATTTGAACAACTATAAGTAGATAATACCAAATGCATATATGATCAAAACACAGGTTAAGCTCGTATTTAAACCTGAAATCATATGATACAATTAAGGATCAATTCCTATGATTAGTCAGATTCAACAAGATCAGACAGACTTACACATTGTATAAACCAAATTAACGAGTTGCAGCAATACTAAATATATCTGGGGAGGACCAATTAGCATATTCAATCAGTACGAAGCCAAGCAGAGCAGAAAGTTAAAGAAGATAACGAACCTGGGAGATAAGCCAGGCTTGTTCCATACGCTTAGCGAAATTGGAAGAGCTCTCAGGGGAATCAACAGCTGAAGCCTTGACGGAAGCCGGAAACCGGCGAATCGTGGCTAAACTCCGGCCGAACGCTACAAAACCTAGCTTCGTTCTCCTCGGCGAAATCATCCATGGATTCGCTATCAATTTGGCTACAATCTGTGACTCGCAACACATGCAAATCGCCATTTCCTCTTCTTGAGAAGTTGAATTCAGAGGTTAATTTTGTGTTTGCAGTTTGTTTTGTTTGCGCATACCAAATTGGAAGACAACAGGAGGAGAAAAGTCTCGAAAAGGCCCAATGGTTTTATTGGATCCTGGGCCCACAAAAGTCCCAACCGGTTCTTTCCGCTTTGTTTCCGAACTGCTCAAATGACCGATTCAATTTCAAAGGCATCAATCAACCCGGTGGCCATATCCCGGTTGAGAAAACAAAAGTGTTTTTATTAATTTACTAGGTTCTTATCTCGCGCTATGCATAACTTTGTATTAATAATTCGGTTTAATTTTTTAACTAATATCTTTTAAACTATCAAAAGTATAATATATTTGTAAAAATTTTATTTTATATAAAAAAAAATAAAACCTAATATATAGTATTTCCTATTTTTTTATATAAAATTATAAATCTTATTAAGTAAAATCATAGTATTGACACCTAACAAATTATCCAACTTCGATGTGCATATGTTTGATCTAGAAAATGATTTTCTTACTAAATTTTTGGTGTTTTGTTTTGTATCCTTATGATTTATATGGTTCTTTTTTTAAAAGGTTTATATGTTTAAATATTTAGTTTCTTTACTAAATGTCTCACTAATGTTGTGTACATATACATATATAATATATGATCTATGTTGATTCAGATTTACTTTTGTTAGTAAGCTATACTAATCGTGTAAAGCTGCTTTTTGCTTCTCCACCAGATCTTCTACGAATTTTAGGTTATATCTCTATTCAGTTTATAAGATCTGTTTTATTTGCAGTCAACTATTTGCTAATATTTGTTTTTAAACATGTAAGATGATGTTGAGACTTCACATTATCACTGTTTTTTCTTTCTTTTGTGTGTTTATTCATGTTTTGATTTGAATATTTTATCTTCATATATTCCCATTTGAATTTGATTCATAACTTTGTCATATTATATTATTTAAATAAAATTTTAGAGGATGTTGTTCATGTGTTATTCATGTTGGCTAATTTATAAGCAGTAAATATATATACAAATCAGACTTTATTACTTATTATATTTTGAATGTAAAGTTACTTGTGTAGTATTTTACTTTGTTAATTTTCCAACCAGACGCAACCAAGGTATTAATCTTTGTAAATTTAAATAATATGTTTGATTTAGAAACTTGTATAACCTATTAAAATTTTATATGGTTATTCATAGTCAACACCAATATTTTAGAAATCATGAATATTTTTGGAAATATATTTCAAACTAATTTTCTTCGTAGATCTTGTTTTTTGTTATTTTAAATATCTTCAATAGTAATTTTATATTTTATTTTAATTATCTAATTTTCTGCAGGTTTGATATACTTAAAACATATATATATATTTAATTAATCTCTTTTGTTATTGATTTTTCAAATAAGTAGCTGATACAAGATTTTTATGGCTTGTTGTCAATCATCCTTGTACTAGTCAGTTGTAGTATGAGTTTTATGTCAATCCAATTGGGAAGAGTTGAAAACAAAAGAGTTGAGAGTAAAATATCTAAGTCAAGCAAGCAGAGAAAAGGTTATGTTGCATAAGCAACAGTTCTAGCAACCTGAGTGAAACAAGCAGCAAAGAAAGTGAAAACAAAAGCAAGCTAAGCAGTTTTAAACAAGAAAAACAGAGTAAAACAGAGCAAATCCGAGATTCAAATAAGAGAAAGGCAAGTCTCTAGATGTGGTTATTAACTTTGGGGAATTTCAGACATTAACTAAGGCTATTTCAAACTACATTGATCAAGCAAGTAAGCAAGCAGTGGTGATTCCTATACATAAAATTCACAATTAAGCTAGTTAGATCCAATCTCTTGGCAAATAACCCTTTGCTAAACATTTTAACAAGAATTAACTCTCATTAGTGCTAAAACATCAAGCAAGCAAGAGTAAACAACTCTATTCAAGTCAAAATGCTCCTCAAACAGTCTTTCTCTTTAGCTAAGGCCAGCAAATCCTCTATTAAACAAGATCAGCATTTCATCAAACACTTGGTGGGCATAAGAGAAAGCTAACAACTTAGACAAGTTTGATCAAGACTAGTCTAGCATGAATAACAGATTAATAGAGAGGAACCCATAAACTGAAGCACTTAACAAGCCCTAATCAAGTCCTAAATTCCCCTAATCTACCACATCTAGAAACCCTAAAATAACTACTCACTCATAATCATGTTTAACACCAAATCACAAAGGGAGAGGATGCTAATCATAATTAAAAGAGAGATTAAAGAAAGATTAAAGCAAATACTTGATTATGTTAAACAAAGCAAAGAAATTGTCTTACAAACTTAAAGAAAATGCTCAAGAACAATATTTTTGACAAGACATATCGAAAATCTGGAAAAGAGGCTATTTATAGCCTAGAGAAGAAAGCCCTAGAGTAATGGCAAAAGCGTAATTAAAAACAGGTTTGGGCTGGGTCAGTATCGGTCAGTTGCGTCGGTCTTCAGTGACCGAAATGGATCCCTATCGGTCTGGAGTGATCGACACATATGACCGAAATCCATCCGGTGTATTTGTGTCGATCACACTTGACCGATACTGGTGATCGATACTGCTCTGTATCGGTCATCCTTGATTGATACTCACTGTGCTCTGACCAAAAACTTCTGCAGAGATCTTCTACTGTGATCCTTCTTGCTCCCTTTTGCCCAGTTAGCATCTTGGATCATCCCCAAAGCTCCTTCAAGCTCCTTTTAGCTCCAAAAGCACCTAAAAACATCCAAAATGCAAAAAAATGCAAATTATACTCTAAATGCAATCTAAGTCTAAAAGGAGAAGAAAATGGGACAAAAGGTAAGGGAAAACATGCAAAAGAGGACCAAAATATGTACTAAATGCAGCCCTAAATGGTGTAAATACAAGAGATATCAACACCCCCACACTTGCCTTTTGCTTGTCCTCAAGCAAATAAGAACAAATGGGAGAGTGAGGTTTGAAATTGGGCATTCAGATTCTAAAAATGCAAAGGTAAAGAGATGGTTTCAATGCTTAAGTGCCTAGTTGTAGGATGCAGACATAATTAGTTATACTTTAAATATCCTAGCCATGCTCATCATGTTTCAAAATGATCTCAAATCTCAACTTAGGCAAATACTTAAATCAATCAACTCTTTAACATTCAATTAAGTTTAGAACATGAATCATGCTTATGCAAATCAAGTGAAGACATTTGGTTGATAAAGGGGTAAGGTTATGAGATAAGAATGATCTCATTCAAGCACAGGGTTTTAAAAACATAAAGGATCACTCAATGAAATGACTTCATCTTAGGCAAAATGCTAAAGGTAAAAGCACACTTATGCATGCAATTCAAAGCTCTCTTCTACCCTTATTTCCCAAAGATGAGTCCTAAGCATTTCTAAACCCCAAAAGTGAATCCCCTAAGTCTACCCTTTCCTAAACTCTACCCTTTACCCTTCTTCATGGTTGGGGAAACTTCTTCTTTTTGCTTGTGTGGTTGCTTCTTTTTGGTTGGGACTTGCTCTTCTTTGTTGTGTTGGCACCCTCATCACCTTTGGTGGATTGCTTCTTGGTTAGATTTTTTTTCTTTTGGACCCTTATAAGCATTGTTGTTGGCGCCAATTCTTCTTTTTGAACTTAGAGCTTTTATTCCCTTTACTTAACCACAGTACTAAACTGTTTCCCTTTTTTTACCATTTCAGATCTTTTCCTTTTCTTTCAAAACATATAAACATGAAGTTCAAACCACTTACACTACCCTTTTAAACCCCAAAACTCCTATCCTAGAATCAAGCTCAAGATGCAAGCTGATATCTACAAGAGATCTAATCATTGCCAGCCTTATTCCTAACACTTTTTGCCAAGACAAAATCGAAAATGCAATGCAAAGGCCTCACAGCTCTCACAATAGTGTTTAGGCTCAAAAGGAGGTTTTGGTTAAGGGTGAGGATGTAACTGTCCTATAATTATGAGGATCAGCTATTTGGATCAACAAGAGTGGTAGAAAGGAGAAAGATGATCCAAATATGTATATGGTAGCCATGTAATCACTTTTCAATGCATAAGACATGATAATTAAAATTCCAAATTAAGGTTCAAGTTGATAGAGTTGATTTTCAGAGAACAAATGCTTTCAGAATGAGATGAAAAGACCAAATCTAGCAATCTAAGCATGGTTCAGCCTTAACTTCTAGCAATCATATGATGCATCAAACAACTAAATACTTAAAAACTGAAATCATCTCTAAACACTAAGCACTTTACAAGGAAAATTCATCATAATGCCCTATGCAAATGCAATGCAACCTACATGTCAACACTAGACTCAATCCTAGAAGAATGAAATGCAACTACATGCCATCTTTTTGGTTTGCAAAAATGCAAAAAATTTCAAATTTTTCTATTTTTTGTGTTTTTCTATGCCTTACATGTATGCATGGTATGCATGAGACTCAAAGTGAAAAGAAAAAGAAAAACTAAGAAAACAGAACACAAATTCAAACCCCAAATCTCTCCCCCACACTTAAATTACACAGTCCCTTGTGTAATGAAAACAATGGAAGAGAGAAGCAACAAAATATATTACAGAAATAAAAAGATGCAATGGTATAGAACAATGGAAAGGATGTGGTACTTGGTTTAATGGTAGGAGTTGTGGGATGATCCTGAGGTTTGAGGAGACTTGCTAGCTCTCCTCTTCCTTCTCTCATAGACTTTAGTGGAATGCTCTTCTTCTTGAGGTGGTTGTACCCAGCTTGACCATAGTTGCTCAGCTTGTGAAGAAGTCCCTTGTGTGCCCTATTGCCATGTCTCCTGAACTTCAGAGGGGTTGGGGTTTGATGCCTCCCAAGCTGATGGAACATGGGCTCTTAGCTCATAAGATGAGGCCCTTGGTTGTGCCCATGTACCCCATTGGTCACTTGGTTGTGCATGGAATGAGTTTCTTCCAAGAGGGTTCCATGCAGCTTCCTCCTCTTCAGTTGGCTCAGCTTGGTGAAGTTGCTCTTCTTGGTGAGAGTTGAGCTCATGGGTGTGGCTGTGGTGGGAAGGTTTTGCTGATGTAGCCTTGTTCTTCCTGAACTTCCCTTTCACCATCTTCATAAGCCCTTTGATGGCTTTGTCCTGCCACTTGCACCACTTCTGTAGTGTGTTGATGGGCTCA